CACTGATGATGACCACTGTGTCCCTACAGCTAACACACTGTACACTGATGATGACCACTGTCCCTACATGGCCTAACACACTGTACACTGATGATGACCACTGTCTAGCTACACACTGTACACTGATGATGACCACTGTCACTACAGCTAACACACTTGTAGTACACTGATGATGACCACTGTCCTAGCTAACACACTGTGAGTACACTGATGATGACCACTGTCCTACAGCTAACACACTGTAGTACACTGATGATGACCACTGTCCCTACAGCTAGCGTACTGTACACTGATGATGACCACTGTCCCTACAGCTAACACACTGTACACTGATGATGACCACTGTCCCTACAGCCTAGCATTACTGTACACTGATGATGATCTCTGTCCTAAAAGCTAACACTGTATACACTGATGATGACCACTGTCCCTACAGCGAAAGCTAACACACTGTACACTGATGATGACCACTGTCCCTACAGCTAACACTGCACACTGATGATGACCACTGTCCTACAGCTAACACACTGTACACTGATGATGACCACTGTCCTACAGCTAACACACTGTACATGGATGATGACCACTGTCTACAGCTAACACACTGTAGTACACTGATGATGACCACTGTCCCTACAGCTAACACACTGTAGTACACTGATGATGACCACTGTCCCTACAGCTAACACACTGTAGTACACTGATGATGACCACTGTCTACAGCCTAACGTACTGTACACTGATGATGACCATGTCCCTGGCCTTTAACACACTGTACGCATTAGTGACCACTGTCCCTACAGCTAGCATTACTGTGTACACTGATGATGATCTCTGTCCCTAAAGCTAACACACTTTGTACACTGATGATGACCACTGTCCCTACAGCTAACACACTGTACACTATTTATTGATGACCACTGTCCCTACAGCTAACACACTGTACACTGATGATGACCACTGTCCCTACAGCTAACACACTGTACACTGATGATGACCACTGTCCCTACAGCTAACACACTGTACACTGATGATGACCAAGTGTCCCTACAGCTAACACACTGTACACTGATGATGACCAGTGTCCTACAGCTAACACATGCACTGATGATGACCAGTGTCCTACAGCCTAACACACTGTACACTGATGATGACCACTGTCCTACGGCTAACACACTGTACACTGATGATGACCACTGTCCTACAGCTAACACACTGTACACTGATGATGACCACTGTCCTACAGCCTAACACACTGTACATGATGATGACCACTGTCCCTACAGCTAACACACTGTACACTGATGATGACCAGTGTCCCTACAGCTAACACACTGTACACTGATGATGACCAGTGTCCCTACAGCTAACACACTGTACACTGATGATGACCACTGTCCCTACAGCTAACACACTGTACACTGATGATGACCAGTGTCCTACACTACACTGTACTGCACAGTACAGCACAGCACAGCACAGTTCAAAGCAGCATTGAGCAACACAGTACAGAACAATGCAGTGGAGCACAGTACAGAACAGTACAGGGCACCACAGTATAGTACAATTTCACTGCAAAATAGCACATTAAAGTACAGTATAGCACAGTACAGTACAATACAGTACAGTGCAGCACAGTAGAGTATAGTACAGTAGAGCACAGCAGAGTATAGTACCGTAGAGGTCAGTATAGTACAGTAGAATACAGTATAATGCAGTACAGTAGAGTACAGTATAGTACAGTACAATAGAGTTCAGTATAGTACAGTAGAGCACAGCAGAGTATAGTACCGTAGAGTCCAGTATAGTACAGTAGAGTACAGTATAATGCAGTACAGTAGAGTACAGTACAACAGAGTTCAGTACAGTGCAGTAGAGTACAGTGGAGTAGAGTACAGTAGAGTGAGATAAAATACAGTACAGTAGAGTACAAAGCAATACTGTACAGTACAGCACAGATAGAGTACAGAAGAAGAGTACAATACAGTGCAGTGAAGTAGAGTAAGGTACAATGCAATACTGTACAGTACAGCACAGTAGACTGATGAGGTAAGCTAGTAGACTAAAATAAATGAGTACAGTAGAATAGAGTACAGTACAGTGCAGCACAAAACAGTATGAGTACAATACAGTACAGTACAGCACAGTGCAGTAAGTGAAGTACAGTAAGTAGAGAGTACAGTAAGTACAGTACAGTACAGTAAAATGAAGTACAGTGAATAGAGTACAGTACAGTACAGTAGAAATACAGTGAGAGTAAAGTAGGAGTACAGTGCAGTGAAATTACAATAGGTAGAGTACAGTACAATAGAATAGAGTTAGAGTGAAGTACAATAGAATTGAGTACAGTTCAGTACAGTGAGAATTACAGTACAGTACAGTAGAGTATAGTACAGTAAAGTGCAGTACAGAAGGGTTACAGTACAGTGCAGTGTGATGGAAGTACAGATGCTGAGATTACAGTATAGTATAGTACAGTACAGTACGGTACAGTAGAGTACAGTACAGTACGAGTACAGTACAGGAGAGTACAATACAGCATAGTAGAGTAGAGTACAGTACAGAAGAGTACAGTATAGTAGAGTACAGTACAGTAGAGAACAGTACAGTATAGTACAGTAGAGTACAGTAAAGTACAGTACAGTAGAGAACAGTACAGTATAGTAGAGTACAGTAGAGTACAGTAAAGTACAGTACAGTAGAGAACAGTACAGTATAGTACAGTAGAGTACAGAACAGTAGAGTACAGAACGGTACAGTAGTGCAATAGTATAGTTAGGTGGGGTGCAGTACAGTGAAATACATTACAGTGATGCAGATTGAGTACAGTAGAGTAAAGTACAGCACAGTAGAGTACAGTAGAGTACAGTGCAGTACAGTAAAGTGCAGTATAGAAGAGTACAGTACAGTGCGGTAGTGTACAGAACAGATGAGTACAGTATAGAACAGTAGAGTACATTACAGTAGAGTACAGTAAGTACAGTACAGTACAGTAGAGTACAGTACAATAGAGTAGATTAGAGTAAAGTACAGTACAGTACAGTACAGTACAGTGGAGTAGAAGTGAAGTACAGTGCAGTACAGTAAGGTACAGTACAGTAGGGAATACAATAGAAGTATAGTAGAGTACAGTATGGTACAGTACATTAAAGCAATACAGTACAGTACAGTACAATACAGTTCAGTACAGTACGATACAATAGAGTACAGGAGAGTACAATACAGTATAGTACAGTCGAGTACAGTTCGTAGAGAAATTACAGATGAAGTATAAAGTACAGTACAGTAGAGAACAGTCAAGTATAGTACAGTCAGTACAGTGGTAGAGTACAGTGAAATTACAATTACGGTACAGTACAGTAGAGTACAATACAGTATAGTAAGTGAAGTACAGTAGAGGTACAGGTGAGTACAGTACAGCGAAGTACAGTACAGTGAGTACAGTACAGAAGAGTACAGTAAGTACAGTGTGGTAGAGTACAGTATAGACAGTGAGAGTACATACAGTAGAGGTACAGTAAGTTCAGTATAGTACAGTACAGTGAGGTACAGTAAGTACAGTACAGTAAGTACAGTACAGTACAATAGAGCAGATTAGAGTAGAGTAGAGTACAGCAGAGTACAGTGCAATACAATGGTACAGTACAGTAGAGTACAATACAGTATAGTAGAGTAGAGTACAATACAGTATAGTACAGTAGATCAGAGTACAGTTGAAGTACAGTACAGTGCGATAGAGTAGAGTAGAGTAGAGTACAGTAGAGTACAGTAGAGTAGAGTACAGTACGGTACAGTACAGGAGAGTACAATACAGTATAGTAGAGTAGAGTACAGTAGAGTACAGTATAGTAGAATACAGTAGAGTACAGTAAAGTACAATAGAGTAGAGTACAGTACAGCACAGTAGAGTAGAGTACAGTACAGTAGAGTGCAGTTCAGAAGAGTACAGTGCAGTAGAGTACAGTATAGTGAAGTACAGTAAGTACGGTACAGAACAGCACAGTACAGTACAGAAGAGTACAGTAGACTACAGTGCAGTAGAGTACAGCATAGTAGAGTAGAGTAGAGTAGAGTAGAGTACAGTACAGCACAGCACAGTAGAGTTCAGTACAGTACCTTACATTACAATGCAGTACAGTACACAGTGCAGCCCAGTACAGTATAAGACAGTACAACACAGCACAGTACAGTACAGTACAGCATAGCACAGTACAGTACATCACAGTACAGTACAGCATAGTACAGTACATCACAGTACAGTACAGCATAGTACAGTACAGCACAGTATAGTACAGCATAGCACAGTATGGTACATGACACTACAGTGCATTATAGTACAGTACAGCATAGTACAGTACAGTATAGTACAATACAGTACAGCATAGCACAGTACAGTACATCAAATTACAGTACAGTATAGTGCAGTACAGCATAGTACAGTATAGTACAGCATAGTACAGTACAGTATAGCAAAGTACAGCATGTACAGTTACCAGAATAGTACAGTACAGCAAAGTACAGTGCAGTGCAGTACAGTACAGCATAGCACAGTACATCACACTACCGTACAGTATAGTACAGTACAGCATAGTACAGTACAGTACAGTACAGTATAGTATAGTACAGTACAATACAGTCTTGTATAGTACAGTACAGTCCAGTACAGTACAGTACATTACAGTACAGTTTTGTATGGTACAGTCTTGTATAGTACAGTACAGTACAGTACAGTACAGTCCAGTATAGTACAGTACAGTACAGTACAGTCCTGTATAGTACAGTATAGTTCTGGCCTCTTCCTATAAAGGACCAAATTAAACGATATATCTCTTTAATATATACCCACACAATGATATTACTATGATAATAATAATAATTGTAAGAGTGATAATAGTAATCAATAATAACAACATGTATCACTAGTATAAAACACGTCAATAAATGGAGCAGCACAAGAGATGTTCCCACTCCACCTGTTACTTCACTACATGACAACACACCTTATCTGTCTTGAGCTCTGTCATGGTCTTGTGCTGTGGTGGAGGAGTACTCTTGGACTTGACTGTTGTCGTGGACTGTGGAGCGGCGTTGTTCACCACCCGCTTAGGGAGAGTCAGGCCCATGGCAGCAAAGGTTCGGTAATACTGTGACACATAGGTTAAAACAGAGAGTCGATCAGGTACTACATTATCCACCATGTCCTCAGCGTCCAGGAGGGCGGGGATGTAAATGCTGCTCAGCTACACGGAACGCCAGAGCATTGTTCTCCAAGATGTTCTCTGGCTTCAGCGAGGAGAATTCACTGTTGACAGACATACAGTAAACACAATTAATACAAAGAAATAAATATTTTGTAACAGTACTCGTGGCATTATCCCAGCTTAACTATAGGAAGTACTTGTGGCATTATCCCAGCTTAACTATAGGAAGTACTTGTGGCATTATCCAAGCAACTATAGTAGAGTATAGCTTGGCATTATCAGCAACTATAGTAGTGCGGCATTATCCAGCAATCTATAGTAAGTACTTGTGGCATTATCAGCAACTATAGTAGAGTACTCGTGGCATTATTCCAGCAACTATAGTAAGTACTTGTGGCATTATCCCAGCAACTATAGTAAGTACTTGTGGCATTATCCCAGCAACTACAGGAAGTACTTGTGGCATTATCAGCAACTATAGGAACGTGGCATTATCCCAAGCAACTATAGTAATACTTGTGGCATTATCCCAGCAACTACAGGAGGTACTTGTGGCATTAACCCAAGCTAACTACAGGAGTACTTGTGGCATTATTCAACAACTATAGTAAGTACTTGTGGCATTAACCTAGTGTAACAATAGGAAGAACTGTGGCATTATCCGGCTTAACTATAGGAAGTACTTGTGGCATTATCCCAAGCTAACTATAGGATGCTTGTGGCATTATCCATCTTAACTAGAGGAAGTACTTGTGTCCCAGCAACTACAAGGAAAGTACGTGGCATTATTCCAGCTAACTATAGAGATTGCTTGTGGCATTAACCTAGCAACAATAGGAAGAACTTGTGGCATTATCCCAACAACTATAGTAAGTACTTGTGGCATTATCAGCAACTAGGAAATTACTTGTGGCATTTTCCCAGCTTTACTATGGAGTACTTGTGGCATTATCCCAAGCAACTACAGTAAGTACTTGTAGCATTATCAAGCAACTACAGGAAATACTTTAGCATTATCCAAGTAACTATAAGTACTTGTGGCATTATCAGCACAACTACAGGAAGTACTTGTGGCATTATCAGCAACTACAGGAGTACTTGTGGCATTATCGGCTTAACTACAGGAAATTGCGCATTATCAGCTAACTAGAGGAGAGTGCTGTGGCATTATCCAAAGCAACTACAGGAAGTACTTGTGGCATTATCCAAGTAACCTATAGGAGTACTTGTGGCATTATCCAGAAGCAACTACAGGAAGTACTTGTGCATTATCAAGCAACTGGAAATGCTTGTGGCATTATCCAGCAACTATAGGAAGTAGTGGCATTATCCAGAGCAACTATAGGAGTACCTGTGGCATTATCCAGAAGCAACTACAGGAGTACTTGTGGCATTATCAAGCAACTATAAGAGTACATTGTTACATTGTCACAACAACTATAGGAAGTACTTGTAGCATTATCCAGAAACAACTATAGGAATACTTGTGGCATTATCAAGACAACTATAGAGTAGCATTTACACTGTCCAAAACAACTATAGGAAGTATTTGTTGCATTATCCGAGCAACTGGGAAGTACTTGTGGCATTATCCAAGCAACTACAGGAAGCACTTGCATTATCAGCAACTACAGAGTAGCTTGCATTATCAACAACTAGAGGAGTACTTGTGGCATTATCCCAGCTAACTACAGGAAGTATTTGTAGCATTATCAAGCAACTATAAATGCTTGTGGCATTTTTCAACAACTATAAGTACTTGTGGCATTATCCCAGCTTAACTACAGGAAGTATTTGTAGCATTATCCAAGCTTAACTATAGGAAGTACTTGTGGCATTTTCCCAACTTAACTATAGGAAGTACTTGTGGCATTATCCCAGCTTAACTATAGGAAATACTTGTGGCATTATCCCAGCTTATTTATAGGAAGTACTTGTGGCATTATCCCAGCTTAACTATAGAAAGTATTTGTGGCATTATCCCAGCTTAACTATAGGAAGTAATATCTTATAGTAACCACACACACACAGTACACTCAACCCCCAACAAAGTAGGAGGTTGAGTGACACCTTACATGAGGTCTGGTCTGAAGCGATGTATGAGGGCGCAGAAGGCGAGACCATTGCGCCAGGCTGTTGTCATGTTAGAGATGCTGACCCCCTGGTAGCCATCCGTGGCCCGTCTAGCCCACAGCTCCAGGGCCTTGGTGCCTCGACGCTCCACTCATGATGTCTGGAACAACATAAACAATTATTAGCATGTTACTTACACCTCAGGGACAGTCACTCATAATATAACTTTATGGAGGCGTGGAATGGATTTCAGAATGAACACCGCGACTCCTGTTGTCTCGGTGAGGATGTGAAAATCCTAATTTGTCCATTGTGTCATAATTTCTCCTAGAAAATCATGCAGATAATTTTTGGATTGAGGGTACACGTTTAAACCATAGATCTCGGACCCCTTTTGAGGATTTACTGGGTTTTGGAGTTCTGGGTATAGTTTAAGTTAAAGTGATAGGTATTTGGCTCACTATAACAGGCTATAGTTAACTGTAGAGAAGATCAATACAAAGTCTCCAGGCCACAGTATAGCCACCAACCTATGATGAACTATGTACGACCAAGTAAAGCTTCAGTAATGTAGTGTATCTCGTCAGTAAGGTTCAGGAGACGTGGCCAGGAAGGGTGACAGTGTGTGCCGCCTCTACATCATCTTTAAAACTCTCCAACTAAAAATTGTAAAGAAAGTTGATGTTCCCTGTGAGAGATGCTGGTGAGTATTAAAACACACACACACACACACACCCTGGAAATGCCATCCCTCAGTGACCTCCACCACCAAGCACTGGAAAGGTTTGGCAGCCAACTAATGCACCACCCTCGTCATCGCCACCTCCTGCAGCCCCCCACCCAACTCGCGCAGTCCGCCACTACAACAAAATACAGCCCATAAGAGCCAGCACTGATAGATATAAGAACAGCACCATCCCATCTATTGTTAAAATAATAAACAACTCCTGATTTATGTACTGTACAGCCCTGTAAATGTATTCAATGCATATTATATCATTATGTATAAATCAAATGTAAGTCTGTATATTTTCAGCTACCGTTTATTTTTATTATTATTATTATTATTACAGACACACACTAATGGTTGTACGTCAACTTCGTCATTACCAGGTGCAAAAGACACACTCATTATACAATCATAATAAAACAACAAACTTCCTGCGCCAAACGATGTTCTTTTGTTATTACCGAATCTCTCTCTCTCTCTCTCTCTCTCTCTCTCTCTCTCTCTCTCTCTGACGACAATTATCTAACCTTGGATGGTTAACACTGGTCCTTGATATACTGTATGTACCTGTGTTAAACGTCTCACAGCAGGTGCACGTTCTGGTGATGGTGGTGGGAGGAGTGATGGTGGTGGTGGGAGGTGGTGATGGTGGTGGGAGGTGGTGATGGTGGTGGGAGGTGGTGATGGTGGTGGGAGGTGGTGATGGTGAGTGGTGGTGGTGGGAAGGAGTGGTGATGGTGGTGGGAGGAGTGGTGATGGTGGGAGGTGGTGATGGTGGTGGGAGGTGATGGTGGTGGGAGGAGTGGTGATGGTGGTGGGAGGAGGTGATGGTGGGAGGAGGTGGTGATGGTGGTGGTGGGAGGAGGTGGTGAGGTGGTGGGAGGTGGTGGTGGTGGGAGGAGTGGGGTGATGGTGGTGGGAGGTGGTGATGGTGGTGGGAGGAGTGGTGATGGTGGTGGGAGGGTGGTGATGGTGGTGGGAGGGAGTGGTGATGGTGGGAGGAGGGTGGTGATGGTGGTGGGAGGAGGTGGTGGTGGTGGGGAGGGTGGTGATGGTGGTGGGAGGGTGGTGGTGGTGGGGGTGGTGGGGAGGGTGTGGTGGTGGGATGTGGTGGTGGTGGGAGGTGGTGATGGTGGTGGGAGGATTGGTGATGGTGGTGGGAGGAGTGGTGATGGTGGGAGGTGGTGATGGTGGGAGGAGGAGTGGTGATGGTGGTGGGAGGTGGTGATGGTGGTGGGAGGTGGGTGGTGGTGGGAGGTGGGTGATGGTGGTGGGAGGGTGGTGATGGTGGGAGGTGGTGATGGTGGTGGGAGGGGGAGGTGGTGGTGGTGGGAGGGAGTGGTGATGGTGGTGGGAGGAGTGGTGATGGTGGTGGGAGTGGTGATGGTGGTGGGGTGGTGATGGTGGTGGGAGGAGTGGTGGTGGTGGTGGGATTC